CCCCCCCCCCCCCGAACTGCCCCCAAAGGGAGAGCCTGCTCTTCCAAGAGACCTTCCCTCGCTTTGGACCCTCGGCTCTGGGCCGAGGGGAACCAGCCGCCAGTCCCTCCGCCCGCTTCCTTTCGTGGCTTCCCCTCTGGGCTCCCTGGCCAGCCTCCATCAGAGGCCATGGCTGTCTGCCGCCCTGTGGGGTCTCTTCCTCTGCTTGGTGGCCCCCGCAGGTCCCTCCGTAACCTCTCAGGCCGAGGGGGAGGCAGCCCAGCCTCCTTGGAAGCAGATGCCCGTCGGGGTCTCCAGCTCCCCGGAAGAAGAAACGGGGGGAGGAGGTCGGGGGGGGGGGCTCTTCCAATGTATTACCCCACAGCTGCCTGACTTCTACATGGGGGCAGAAGCCAAAGGCTGGCATGCTCTAAGTCACACGCTGCTCAGGGAGCCGTGCTAGGCAGAGTTGGCTCTGCATGTGGGAATGGATCTGGCTCTGGGTTCAAGGGAAGGGTGGGGGAGGCTGTTTTTCTCACAGAAAGGGCTATTGTGGCAGTTGCACCACTGGCAAAGTTTGGAAGTTTGGCCAACCTGGAAAACCGTGTCATCCAGGCACACAACTATGTGCACTGTGGGAATGGAGCCAAATTCTGTGACTGAAAGGAGGGAGCTTGGCAAACTGCAGTTGTGGTTCCAGGATGAACCTGGTCTTGAAGTTTACTCGTGTTAAACATTGCGTAAAGCAGGATGCCCCTCTGGGGCATCTGGGACTGCAGCATCAATCTGTGGACATGGCAGCCTCCGTAGTCTTTCCCGCCCCCCCCCCAGCAACCCCCCTCTTGAGTCCTAATCTTCCAGGTTTCCCAGAAGGACCCAGTGGGCATATACAGAGGGTGCTATTTGCCAGATGCCATGAAACTGCACCTGTTGAAATGCTGCCTTTCTTTTCTCCCCTAAACAGTTCCTTCTCACTCTCGCCCCCCCCCCCCCTCCCCCCCCCCCCCCATGGCCCAGAGCGGTCCCTCAAAAGGCCCCTAAGTGGCTGCTGTTAACATCTCGGCAACATTAAACATTAACTCCATGTGCTTCAGCCTGCATTCATTAGGCAGGGAACAATGCTGCCACAGCCTGTAAAAGTTTACAGCCTGTTTTACAAGGAGAACATAATATATAACTATTTTTCCTCTGGAAAACCTGGCCAGGGCTTAACTCCCGAAGATTGCCTTCTGCCTGGGGTTCTGGCTGCCCCAGATCTGGGTTGCAAGTGAAGGGCCTGGCCCTGTTTTTGGGGCAGCCGGGATCCTCAGAGAGATGGATGTGGAAGGGGCCCGGCCTCTCTGCGGAACCAGGGAACCAGCCTCCTTTGGAGGCTCCAGGCGGCTTCCTCCTTCCTATTGGGTTTCATCTGAGGAAGAGGGGGGCCACTCCGCCCCTCCTGCTGAAAGGGGCACCCAGAAAGGTATGCCTTCCGAAGGCTGGTGAGCCAAGGCGGCAGCCCCTTCCTCACCTTCAGCAAATGTGGTTAAACTGTAAACTAGGCTTGTCTTAAAGGCTGGTGCTGCAGAGACATTTCTCCCTCCAGGGCAGCCGGGTGGCACTCAGAACAAGCAGCAGCTTGTTAAAACTTGTGTTTGGGCTTCGAGGGCTCTGGCCAGGGCAGGGGATCCACCGGGAGCTGAAGTGGGGCATACTTGTTGCAGAATCCCTTAGGCCACCAGACTTGAAATTCCAGACCTAGACAACGTAGAACTACAACGACTTCAGTCCGATCTAAGTATAGTACATAAAATCATACATTGCAATGTCCTACCTGTCAATGAATACTTCAGCTTCAACCATAACAATACAAGAGCACACAATAGATACAAACTCAAGGTAAACCGCACCAAACTTGATTGTAGGAAATAGGACTTCAGCAACAGTGGTCAATGTCTGGAATCCTCTACCTGACTCTGTGGTTTCTTCCCCAAACCCCAAAAACTTTAACCTTAGACCTCACTCCTTTCCTAAGAGGTCTGTAGCGGGCGTGCATAAGTGCACCAACGTGCCTACCGTCCCTGTCCTATTGTTTCTTTTTATTTTTCTTATAAGCATCCATTTCATGCGTTCATAACCATGTTTATACTTATACCTGTTATCTAATAATTGCTTGACAAAAAATAAATAAAAATAAAAATAAAAGGCCAGCCGGCGTCCCTTGACCTCTTGGTAGAGGCTGGGCTGAACAACGATCTGGCGGGGATTGCATCCGAATGGCTCACCCTTTGCTTCCCAGCCACTCTTGCAGCCATGCTGGCCCTGTGGAAATTTGGCAGCCTGGGATAACCATTCCCATCATGCTCAGCTGCCCAGGAGGGAAGGGAAACATGGGCCGAGGCTCCCCACTGGACCTCTGCAGGCAGCAGATGTTGGAAACCGCCAAGCTCAGTTGCCCAGGATCCGGCCAGGCTTGTGGGGAGGGGGAGGAGGTGTGGGGGGGACTGAAAGCATTTGACTGTTTGGTAAGAAGAGCAGGCAAGACAGAAGCCCCATTGTCTGCCCCCCAGGAGAAGGCCTGAATGGAGCTTCCAGGAGACAAAAAGCGCTTTGAGAAGGCCAGCTCGTTAGTATGCGAGGGGGAGCCACGGCCTTCTCTGGCTTGGCTCCCCTTCCCTCCTCTCCTGGCCACCCCAGCGGGCATGAGTCCTGCCACCGGAGCTCCTCGGGCCGTGTCCATGGCACCCCCCTGGGATTCACCTGTTCTGACCCCCAGCTCACTGCCAGCACAGGGGGCTCAGCCAGGCCCTTGCCTCCTGCGCCTCTCTGCTTGCCAAGTGTGATGTGGGGGGGGGGGGGTTTGGATCCCCCCCCCTGCAGGAGGGCCAGGAAGAGCCAAGTTTGCAACGTCTCTCTGTTCCTCTTCAGCTCAGCTCCAGACTCCGCTGCACATCTCCACTGCTCTCTTAGAGTGGGGGCTTCTGCGCTCGGGCCAACCGGTCGTTTACACAAGGCTTCCACAAACGTTCCAATGATCTTAGCTTCCCCTAAAGTCAGGCAGGAGATCCACAAGAAAACCAAGCCCCCCCGCCCCCCCACCCCCGGTAGCTTCCCCTCACTTCAGCAAGGAGAGGAAACACTCCGATATACCCAACCTAGAAACTCCTGGCCTTGGCATCCTGGCTCTGCCCGCCACAACCTTTGCCCTGGCAAAGCGGAACGAAAGCACGGAGTCGTCCGTCTTCAGGCCACAACATTGGTCCCAGGAAAAGAACGTGGCCTCAGGACTCAGCCTCACCTCCGAAGGCTGACAGGGGAAGAAATCTTCCTTCCCAAAGAAGGAGAAATGTCAGGAACGGTCTCCGGGAACGGGAAGTTTGGTTGCCAGAAGAGAAAGACAGACATTTCAGGACGACCAGCCA